TCTCTCTCTCCACTCCTTCACTCTCTTCACCCTCTCTTCCGCCACCGCCCCCAGTCTCGACTCCATCGACCGGGTTAGCACCTTCCAGATGGTGCGTACACCCATCCCCCCATTAACTGCCACGAAGAACCACGAGAAGAACTCGTCTATCGTCATGGCCTCCCCCCCATTCGCCTTAGGCCACGCACTCGCACAGGCCAGCAGAATCTTCCACGCATTGGGCATCAATTGCCCCGGCGCTACCTCCAGGCGATTTAGCACGTCAACCACCACTTGAGGCAGTGGCAACCTCAGCCCCCCTTTTAGCGCCTCCTCGTACAGGGAAAATTCCCCTAGCCTCACAGTAGACAACCTTTCCCCTGATGTTGGCAGCCGTAACTCTACCTCCGCCGGAATCTGGTACCGTCCCCTAATCACCTCCAAATCCGCCGCCGTGAGTGTGGATCTATCCGCCTTAGTGTGCCACTGATCTAGCTCTACCTGGCTTAGTGGCTGTGGCGCTAATACCAGGACCGACGCCTGCGATTCTCCCACCGTTTCCCCCACCATTCGCACCTCCGTCCTGTATTGCGCTGCTAACTCCTCCCCATCATCATCCCCCAACGGGTCCACCCTCACATTAACTCCTTCTTCTTGTGCCATTTCTAGGGTTTACTTGCAACTCACTTCTGACGCACGAATGAGGAAGTTCAGAAAATGCTAACACAGGTATGTCGTCTGCAGTGAAGGAATTAACACTTGGATATTTTGGGTTTTTGTACACAGGTAGTTGAAACGCATTATACCAACACCCCACGGTTTACCCGTATTCCGTAGATCCGCATTAATTTTCGCCCGTTTCAAAACCTTTCAAATCAACCGCCAAAGCCGCCTTTTCAAAACCCCACTTGTGACCTATTGTTTCATTTCTGCTCCAACGCTTCACTTCCCCCACGATATTACCACGTGTATGGCCACGATGCACTGTCCCTATATATATGTAGATCAAAAGGTTGTCAGCCCCATTGAAAAGATAACATAAAGATTAGGAGAAGGAGGGGAAGAGCTGGTGCTAAGGTTTTTCAATTGTGAATGCCATATTCTTTCAAACTTGATCCCAATATGCATTTTCTAGTTCTCTTATTGTTGGCCCAATATGCATTTTCTTGATCCCAATATGCATTTTCTAGTTCTCTTATTGTTGGCCCAATATGCATTTTCTTGATCCCAATATGCATTTTCTAGTTCTCTTATTGTTGGCCCAATATGCATTTTCTTGATCCCAATATGCATTTTCTAGTTCTCTTATTGTTGGCCCAATATGCATTTTCTTGATCCCAATATGCATTTTCTAGTTCTCTTATTGTTGGCCCAATATGCATTTTCTTGATCCCAATATGCATTTTCTAGTTCTCTTATTGTTGGCCCAATATGCATTTTCTTGATCCCAATATGCATTTTCTAGTTCTCTTATTGTTGGCCCAATATGCATTTTCTTGATCCCAATATGCATTTTCTAGTTCTCTTATTGTTGGCCCAATATGCATTTTCTTGATCCCAATATGCATTTTCTAGTTCTCTTATTGTTGGCCCAATATGCATTTTCTTGATCCCAATATGCATTTTCTAGTTCTCTTATTGTTGGCCCAATATGCATTTTCTTGATCCCAATATGCATTTTCTAGTTCTCTTATTGTTGGCCCAATATGCATTTTCTTGATCCCAATATGCATTTTCTAGTTCTCTTATTGTTGGCCCAATATGCATTTTCTTGATCCCAATATGCATTTTCTAGTTCTCTTATTGTTGGCCCAATATGCATTTTCTTGATCCCAATATGCATTTTCTAGTTCTCTTATTGTTGGCCCAATATGCATTTTCTTGATCCCAATATGCATTTTCTAGTTCTCTTATTGTTGGCCCAATATGCATTTTCTTGATCCCAATATGCATTTTCTAGTTCTCTTATTGTTGGCCCAATATGCATTTTCTTGATCCGGTCTTGCTAACTGTTATTCAATTCTTTTGGTTTCATGTTCTTGCATAAATATAGTGTGTCTATATGTGTGTGTGCGCGCGCTCGCGTGTGTGTTTGTTGGGAAATTTCTTGTTTGGATGATCTAAGGACTGAGGTTATAGGTCTTGGTGATTTTTTATTTTATTTTATTTTTACAGATGTTGGCTTTGTGGCTAGTCTAGTTTTGGGATTTATCATGTTTTCCTTACATAGAAAATATATTGATCATTGTTTTGTTGTGTTTTCTGGCCTGAAATTCTTATATGTTTGTGTTTTATGCAAACCCAACTGATAAACATGAAAACATTTTAGTTATGGTGTTTAGTTATGTTATATATTTGGCAACCAAATTATATAGTCAGGGTTGCACATTTTATATGAACATATTTAGTTATGTTAGCTTATATGTTACAGATTAGTGCTAAACTTATTGGTTGTTATATGCATACGAATACTTCTCAGTTGTTAGCTTGTTCAAAATGCCGCTGAATTTTCTTGATATCATTTGACAAGATTCTAAAGCTTATCAATTTTTATTATTCATTTTATGGGACTGATTTATGCATATTGTTGGTTTCTCCATTGTCATCGTCTTTTTTGTCATTCATGGTAAGTTCTAGTTTTTTTATCATTCATGGTAAGTTCCTATTTATAACCCACTTATCTACTTCTAGCTCAGTGTTGTATAATTAGGCTAGTATAGATGTTTGTTTTAAAGTTTCCTTCAACATTTATATTTATTGGTTGTATTAACTCTATTACAGCCTCTGTCTCTACGTCTCCTTTTTTTTTTTCTTTGTGATCTAACTTGTTCATGGAACAGGTGTTAAGGGTTTTAAGGGTGAACCCATTACTTGTTACTGCACTGATTGCATTTACCTTGGTATGCTTTGTTCATCCAGCCCTGGGTATGTTTATATTGCTATTATCTCATGCACTGAGTTGTGACAGTGCATTATCCAGGTACTAGTCAAAGAGATGCCCCTTTTTCTCGTTATCTTATTGTTTGGAAGCATGAATTGCTGAATAAATTGCTTGATGCTCATTGTTCATTGTTTTTCAAATGTATTCTTGGATTTTTTATATTCTCTTTTTGTCTTGTACAAATTTTTTTATATATTTAGTATGTTACTCTTCCTAGCTTTAAAACACACACTACACACAAACATGCATGCACACAATGACAAAGCAAATTAAATGCCAAAATTCCCATATTATCTATCAAAACAGAGCATGCATAAGTAGTTCAGGGACTTCAAACCCAAACCACCTTCATTGTGGTTTCTTGATCATCAGGTATGCAATAGTTGCTCTCTTTTGACCAAGACCAAACCAGCTATAATTTGGTGTTTTTGTTCCATCTCCTGGTAAGTTTTACTTGGTCTTTTGTGTTGTTAGGTTAGGATTCCCCTTTCATCATGTTCAATATTCTAACCCTTTGAAATTGGAAATAACTTAAAAGTATATTAGACTTATGGCTGGTGATTCATACTGCTGTTGTCCACTTGCAACTTATTGATGAACTAATTTAGTGTGATATATTTCCCTGCAATGCATTGTAGCTACAACAATTAATCACAGCCACAGCTGCTGATTACAGCAGTGTTCTCTCTATGTTTGGGTTTTTCCCAGTCCTAGTCATATGCACCATGGTCCAACAGAACACACTGTGGAAGTGACAATGTGGTGTCTAGAATCACCTGTCAAGACCTACCAACTCAAGTAACAAGTACAAGCAATATACAATTGTGGCTCAATGATGCAGCCCTACCACTAGAATCCGATTAAAGGTAACATAAGATGCACACAGCACTAGAGAAGTGCCTGCATGTTTGACAAGCCTTGTGCAATCTACTAACAATTAATCAGCTGAGCAACAGCATATTTGATCTGCAATCATTCAATTATGCCACCATCGTGTAGACAAGGCCCAACCCAAGCCAATGTGCATGCTAGGTACATTTGCACATTGGTTCATTTGTATCCCACTTGGTCACCATGTGTGCTTTGGATAATATAGCTTCGGAATAGCAAGAGCATCAGTTGAACCTTTAGCGTGTAGGCTAAACCTATTGTTAGCCTTGTAACCCCATGCCAATTAGGGCTGGTTTGGGATGTTCTAAAAAAGTGCACTTTTTGACTTATTGGCTTATATGGGTTGGGTTTGGGTTGGATTTGATGTGATGTGTTAGAGAGGTGATGTGATTTAAATAAGATGATGTGACTTAAATAAGATAGTGACTTTTTGACTTTTTGTATTATTTAGGACATGCCAAACCAAGCCTAAGAGTTGTGCAACCATAATTTTTGACTTTTGATGAATAGTAATAACTTTTTAACTTTTTGATTTTTTAGTTTTTTAGCAACTTACCAAACTTGACCTTAGTAAAATTTGATGAAAAGGTATTGGAGCATATTATGGGTCAATTTGAAAATATGGTTAAAAATCAAATTTTGACTTTTAATTTATTTTAAATGTTATTACTTTTCTATTTTTTTATATATTTTATTAAAACAAGTTTTAAAAAATTAAAAAAAAATTAACTTCTAAGTTTTTAACTAACTTTTCACTTAAATTTGAGGAGAAAAAAAATTAAAGAACTGGAAAGGCTCTTAAAGGACAAATTATGATTTAGCCTCACAACAAACACAGCCTTAAACGATCCATCCAATTATTAAAGGGCAAATTACATATACACCCCCCAGGTTTGACAAAATTACAGATACCCCCTGAGGTTTGAGAAATTACGAATTTCCCCCTGAATGCTATATTTGCATAAGAAATTAGGGGGTAATTTGTTATGAAATATAAATCTCAGGGGGTAAATTGTTATGAAAATACAAAACTCAGGGGGCGGGATGTAATTTCTGAAACCTCAGGGGGGTATTTGTAATTTAACCAAACCTGGAGGGGTGTATATGTAATTTGCCCATTATTAAACCGGGTGAATCCAGATCCGAAATCTCCAAACCACGAAGCAGTCCATTAACCCACACCGAAAATAGCCGTTTTTCTTTAACCCTCTCTGCAAAACCAGCCACCCCAGCAACCCGAAACGCTCCTCTCTCTCTCTCTCTCTCTCTCTCTCTCTCAATCAATTCATGGAGGAATCCAATCAATCCAACATTCCACGACTTTTCTGAGTCCACAATGAGTCTACCATGTCATTAAAATTTCATACCTGAGTCGGCAAAGAACAACAGCAACAACAACGTTAACAATGTCTGAAGTGGATCACTTGCTGTCAAAGAAGGTCGCCGATCGGTACCTCAAGCGCGAAGTCCTCGGCGAAGGAACCTATGGAGTTGTCTATAAAGCTATTGACACCAAGGTATGTCTAGGGTTTCTTAGATCTACGAACGATTGTTTTTTTGCTATTTTGAGGGTGTTTGGTTTCTCAGAAAATGGAGGAAAAAGCAAAAATTGGGTCTTCTTCCTATTTCATTTTTTCCCCTTGCTTTTGATTTTGTATAGATTGGTGGGTGAGAAATTGGAGGAAAGGGTTTTATTAAAATGAATATTTTAGGGTTTTGTGTGTTTCTTTTATTTGTTTTCAGAAGTTGAAGATGATGACTAAACCCAAAACCATATGGCATTAGGCTCAGTTGAGGGTGTTGGTTGCCCTTTTCTTTTTTTGATATATATTTTTTCTTTTAATCTTAAAATTATGGAAAGTTAATGTTTGTGTTCAAAATTTAGCCGATGTTGAAATTTCTTGTCAGCAGCTGCAGAGTGGGTGAGTGAGTTTTTATGAATACTTGTGTGGACAAGTGACATTCACTGTTTTAGAGTTTCAAAGGTCGATAAAAGACTTTATATACTGTTTCAGAGGTTGAATTTTGGGAGGCCTATGGCTACGGTGTTTTTCTTGTGAAAGAGATGGATATTGGAGGAGAGTGGTTGTGGAAAAATATGGCTATTCTTGGGGTGATTGGTCGTCTTGGAGATGAACTTTTCTCATTGGGGGGGGGAAGGTGGGGAGGGGTGATAGGGTGAAGTTTTGGTACCAGAACTGGTGTGAAGAGGATGTGCTGGAAAAAGATTTATCCTGCCATTTTTGTTGTTGCCATTGACAGAGAGAGAGGCCTCCGTGGATGACTAAGTTTGGGGTTCTGGTGGTGAGAGGTTTTGGGACATTGGTTTGAGAAGAAATTTGTAAGATTGTGAGTTGCATCAGTTCTCTAATCTGCTTCTTCTTTATGGATTTAGAGGCTTTAGCGATGATGCAGATGTTTTCTGGTGGACAACTAATAGGAGAGGAAATCCTTTTATGGAGCTTTATCGGGGGATGTTGGGAGGTGTTGTTTATGTGGAAAGGTAATTAGCCTTGTGCCCCCTCGAAGGTAGCCTTTTTTCTTTTCTTTTCTTTTTTTTTCTTTTCTTTTTATGTGGAATGTGTCTTATGAGAAGATTCTTACTGTTGATAACCTTACTTAATGTCTGCATTTCTTGGTGAATTTGTGTTGCGTATTCAAGAGGGACAAATAAATGGTTTCCCATCTCATGATTCATTGTTGGATGATGAGGGAGATGTGGTGGTGGATTTTAGCTCTTTTGGCATGCATTAGATCTTGCAAAATAGTGTGAAGGGGGTTTTTCTTTATTGGTGGAGGAGGAGGTGGGGTTGGGAGAAAGATATGTAGGGTGTGGAAGCTTACTCCTTTGTGCATGATGTGGTTTTATAGAGGGAGCAACAGAAGGACTTTTCAAGGCATGGAGGATCCCATCTATAGCATAAGATTTTCTTTTTTGTCTATTCTATAAAGATGGATTTCAAGGAGGGTTGTGCCTAGTCTTGATCATGTTGTGGATTATGTAGATTCTCTTCACCTATAAGAAGTTTTTGGTTTATAGACCGTTCGGGTTTTGGGATTTGTGTTCTCTTTTTGCCTAGTTTTTGTACTTGGGTTGTGTCCCCTCTATGCCCTTTTAATATAGTTTATCTATCGTTAAATAAATAAACCAAAAACAAAAAAACGAAAAGAAGGTTTAGACAAGTTATCAACCCATGTTACAATAAGACTCGACAAACTGTTTTAATTTGAATGTTAAATGTTGGTCTTGATATTGTAACTAATAGATTTGGTATCAGTTCTCAAACTGGTTGGGTTTCATCCTAGTAACATGTTGGTATCTATCCAAAGAGTGTCGGTGTCCGACACGGACACGACACGGATACGTCACCTTCTTAGAAGTGTCCGTGCTTCTTAGAGGTAATTAGTCTTGTGCCCCCTCGAAGGTAGTCTTTTTTCTTTTCTTTTCTTTTCTTTTTTTTTTTTTTTTTATGTGGAATGCGTCTTATGAGAAGATTCTTACTATTGATAACTTTACTTAATGTCTGCATTTCTTGGTGAATTTGTGTTGCGTATTCAAGAGGGACAAATAAATGGTTTCCCATCTCATGATTCATTGTTGGATGATGAGGGAGATGTGGTGGTGGATTTTAGCTCTTTTGGCATGCATTAGATCTTGCAAAATAGTGTGAAGGGGGTTTTTCTTTATTGGTGGAGGAGGTGGGGTTGGGAGAAAGATATGTAGGGTGTGGAAGCTTACTCCTTTGTGCATGATGTGGTTTTATAGAGGGAGCAACAGAAGGACTTTTCAAGGCATGGAGGATCCCATCTATAGCATAAGATTTTCTTTTTTGTCTATTCTATAAAGATGGATTTCAAGGAGGGTTGTGCCTAGTCTTGATCATGTTGTGGATTATGTAGATTCTCTTCACCTATAAGAAGTTTTTGGTTTATAGACCGTTCGGGTTTTGGGATTTGTGTTCTCTTTTTGCCTAGTTTTTGTAATTGGGTTGTGTCCCCTCTATGCCCTTTTAATATAGTTTATCTATCGTTAAATAAATAAACCAAAAACAAAAAAACGAAAAGAAGGTTTAGACAAGTTATCAACCCATGTCATAATAAGACTCGACAAACTGTTTTAATTTGAATGTTAAATGTTGGTCTTGATATTGTAACTAATAGATTTGGTATCAGTTCTCAAACTGGTTGGGTTTCATCCTAGTAACATGTTGGTATCATTTACATCAACAGTTTTACTGTTTTTAATCTCATTTGGTCAAAGTAACTGGCTGAGAATCTAGTTTTTTGTTTGCACAGACAGGACAGACAGTTGCAATTAAAAAGATTCGGCTTGGGAAGCAGAAGGAAGGGGTGAATTTCACAGCTCTTAGAGAAATTAAATTGCTGAAGGAGCTAAAGGATCCAAATATAATCGAGTTGATTGATGCATTCCCTCATAAGGGGAATTTGCATCTTGTGTTTGAGTTCATGGAGACGGATCTAGAAGCTGTCATTCGTGATAGAAATATTGTTCTTTCACTATCTGATATAAAATCGTACCTTCAAATGACCTTGAAGGGACTTGCTTTCTGCCACAAGAAATGGGTCTTGCATAGGTACATTTCTTTTTTCTTCCCAAGAAACCTCTTTGAAGTCTTTGCTCGGTGTTACTTGGTCTTGAATATTTATTGCTTGTCCTTTTCAGGGATATGAAACCAAACAATTTGTTGATAGGATCTCGTGGACAGCTTAAACTTGCGGATTTTGGTTTAGCTCGTATATTTGGGAGCCCGGATCGTAGGTTCACTCACCAGGTATGCTTATCCTTCTGTATTGAACAGTGATCCATGTCAAGTATGCAAGTAGATTGTCAATTTAAGGTGCATAGACTTTTGAAACACAACATCCCAAATCACCATGCCACTCTATACAAAGTTATTGTTCTCATTGTAGTTATGACTTCATCTTTGTATTTCATCTTGAGCAATATTCTTTTTGTTTTGTACGTCAGTTTTTTTTTTTTTTTTGGTCATGTGTCTTTGCATAACTTGAAAATGCAACTTATTTTGTGCTTTGATTACTCTTCAATAGGTCTTTGCTCGATGGTATAGGGCACCTGAGCTGCTGTTTGGAGCCAAGGCTTATGGTCCTGCTGTGGATGTTTGGGCTGCAGCTTGTATATTTGCTGAACTCCTCCTACGTCGACCTTTTCTGCAGGTGAATCTAGATTATCGTGGTTATTACTTCCTGAGTCAGGGTTTTTTTTTGTTAATTTGGAGAATTGGTTTCTTTTGGGTTGGATCATTTTGAATTGTAATTATATTTGTTATATATTTATAACTATGCTAATTTTGTATGAGAGTTCTGTATATTATTGTTTGGTAATTGGTTCTCATTTGTGCTTACTGATTTTTGTCTGATATTTTTCTTGGACCATTTAAAAATTGAAGCATAGTATCATGGATGCTATTTTGGACTAATTTTGGTTGTTTATTAATTTGTTTTTTTTCTTTATTTAGGATTATTTGTGGTTTTTAGTTGGTTTTAGCTGGTTGTTAAAGTGAGTTTCTTAGTTCTAAAATTTCAGAATCATAGTCCTTCTAAGTTATGGGGCTTTTAAATCAATGAAGAAAAGGTTCGAGATTCTTCTATCTAAAGATCTCTTTGGGATTGTCTGGTGTAATTCTAGCCATGGATGTGACTTATCAGAAAAATAGAATTCTAGCCGTAGTTATGATGACAGGAAACTATTGAGTGATTCAGACTCTTCTTCCCTCCATCCTGAATCGCAACAATATTAACTGTTTTGGGCTAGGCTCTTACAACTTAAAAACGTGTTATTACTAGAAAGGGGTGTAGACTCACTTTTATAGCTCTGCACAACACTTGGCTCTTGCTCACATGGGATTCAAGAGGTGGGTCATACAAATGTGGGATGGGGTGTTACATGTCGCATCTCAAATTTCCCCCCCTTCCTCTTCCTATTGATTTATCTATGCTTTGGCACATGTTTAATCATTCTTTCAATCATTGAATGACATGGGGGAGTGTTCCTTATGTGGAAAGTCAAATTCTGATTAACCAACCAGTTCCCTTGTTGATTTATTAGTTCCTTTTTTTGGGAGTGTGGGAGTTGAAAATTGCCTGCTTGGGCTTAAAGGTTGAAAATTGTACCACCTTATTAAAAGGGGGAAAAAAAGAATTGGTTGACATATGCAATTGAATTCAGTCACACGACCACTGCACTTCGATTTATTGTTGGCATTTTGCTGCCTTCTAGAAATGGCTTGACTTGGAAGATCTAGAATGGAAGATGCTTAGAACCTTTTCAAGCTATTTGATGAGGAAGTTCTTTTTTTACCATTTTTTGTTGCACTGGGAAACACTGCACAAGTGCATCCAGACACCAATTTTGCCACTTGCACTTGTGTCCTACTTCATGCTCTTCTGACTTTGCTGAGTTAGATTTGTAGTTGTGTTTAACGATACATGGGTGCGCTTGTATGTGTGTGAGCGCCACCTATATGACAGTTATCACATGAAAGAGTGGGTTTGTTCAGTTTCTCAATAATGAGGTTTATGCAAGTGGCGGCTTCTGGAAGGCGTATTGAATTTACATTTTAAATTACCCTTAATACATCTCTTGAATTAGTTGGTGGTTGCAGGCTATTGTGGGAATACAAAAATGTGACCAAGCTTCAGCATCAAACGAAATGTGTTGACTTTGTATAATATAGCATAGATTATTTTTCTTTGAGCTCATCATGAACCTTCTCTGTCATCCATCAGTTTCTTTTTTGCATCAATACATATTGCATTCCTACTTTTTTTTTTTATTGACTTTATTCAACTATTCTAAACCAGATGTTTTCTTCGTTTCTGTATTCTTTATATAATTCCCTGGGTACTAGGATTGGTTACTATGTTAAATGTGTGGGTTAATTCTTCTTTTATTTTTCAACAACAGCTTACTAACATCTAACTTCAGTGATATTCATTCTCCTAAATGATTTGTTGGTTTGATTGTTTTTAAATGTCCTTTTTAGGGTAATAGTGATATTGATCAACTGGGAAAAATCTTTGCTGCTTTTGGGACTCCAAAGCCGTCTCAGTGGCCTGATATAAAATACCTCCCTGACTACGTGGAATACCAATATGTTCCTGGACAGCCTCTTCGTCAATTATTTCCAATGGCTAGTGATGATGCTTTAGATCTCTTGTCAAAGATGTTCACATATGACCCAAAAGCGAGAATTTCTGCGCTCCAGGCATTAGAGCATAGGTATGCAAATTTGTCACTTAAATTTGGAAATTTTAGAGTTTCTGGCTCTCATTTTTGTTTTCCCTTAGGTACTTCTCATCTGGCCCACCTCCTACAGAACCAGCATTGCTCCCAAGACCTCCCCCAAAGAAGGAATCTCTGAATTCAAAGGTTTCGGATTTCAATATACATGAGGGTCCTACTGTGTTGTCCCCTCCCAGAAAGTCAAGAAGAGTGATGCCAAATCATGAGGGATTTGAGGGAAATGAATACCAATTAGATGATGCGAAAGAAGGCAGACCAGCAGCCCGTGAGAGGACTGAACACGTGCCGATGCCACTAGATTTTTCTGTCTTTGGATCAAGACCTCCTACTAGACCTACTATTAACAGGTAAAGCAAATTATCTATTTGATGTTTACCTAATGACCATCTGAGCATTATGTAGGTCTCAACCCCTCGAACTTCCACCAAGATACATATCTTAATTAAGTTTAGAGGGAACTACATTTTGATTTAAGATGGAGTTGGAATCTTGCATGCTAATTAATAATAATTTGGTGACGGTCCGGCACTTCTTTCCCGCCACCTAAGAAGCATAGACATGCAACACGACACAAAGATGCCAACACACGAATTTTCAAAAAATATCGGGCATGACACATGGGGCATGCACCAAGTATGTAGTTTTCTATAGTTATTATATATCATGCAATGAATATCATTCAAAGATAATAAATACGACTTAACACAAATTTCTAAAGCTTAAAGAAGGAATTAATAGGTATAAATTTATATTGTGTTTCTTTTATCTTTGGATTTCAAATTTGTAATGTGTTTCATGTTTGTTTAAGCAACGAACGTGTGTGTACTCCTAATGTTTGAAGCATGTTTGGGTTACATTTATTTAAAAAATAATAGGTCATACATGTCGAACAAACCCCTTGCACGACATGTTTGGTTGTGTGTTTGTACTTCTTAGCCCACCACTCATAAACATCCCCACCCCTTCCACACACGCCACCCCTTATCTCTTCCCCACTACCCAGGGCTACTCCCACCCCTTCCCTGCCCTTGACCACCTCCTCACACCTCTTCCCCATGACGCATAGCCACCCCCAACCCCTTCCTAGGTTTTTTTTTATTTTTTTATTTTTTATTTTTAATGTTAAAATAATAAAAAAGCAAAAACAATTTTTATAGTTATCAAACTTCTTTTTCTGTTTTGTTTTCTTTTGTTGCTGAAATTTTTTTGTCTACCAAACATGTTTCCTGATTTCAATTTTTTTAATGTTACCTAATTTCTGTAAACAGAAAATTAGCAATGTTACCAATCAGAAAATTTCTTCCAGGAAAATCACAAAGTCATGGACAAATAAATATATGTAAACACATTTTTTACTCAACGAACTTAACGGCAAAAACTTTGTAACTCTACGGGTAATTTTGGAAGTGTATGATGCCATGTTGACATAAATTGAGAGTGTTGTAATCGAGAGCATCTCACAAACTGCATTCAATCTAATATTGGCTATCAGGTGGCAAAGTTAGGAAATTGAATATGGATTCTAATATCATCTTTGTCATTGAGTTGAAATTTGCAAGAATGTATCATGTGTGTAATCTTGCTTGTGATTGATAGAGCTTTTTTTTCCCTCTCTCTTTTGCCTGCTCCTGCAGTGCTGACAGATCACACCTAAAGAGGAAATTGGATCTTGAGTTTCAACTTCCCGAAGAAGAAGACGAAGAATAATCTAATATATACACCTATTCATAGATTGGATATTATTGTGAGGGATCACTGCTTTATGAGGTATGCTATGGAGCTCTGTAATAATTAAACTAACTTCCTGGTTATTATGACGTCCTTTTGGGCCGGTTTGACAATTGCTTTTTTAGTAATTTTTTTCTCACTCTTTTACTTTTTTTAGGATAAAATTGTTAAAAAAGTTCATGCATTTTTTTTGAGGATAAAATTGTTAAAAAAGTTAATGTGTTTGGCAAATATTAAAAAATTTGCTTTTTGTTATTGGAATTTTTAAAATTCTTTTTAGATCCTTCTAGACTTGGAGGACCTGAAAACTAAAATAATTTCATTAAAGCCAAAAAATTGGGAGAAGTGTGACTTTTTTAGCATTTGCCAAACAGGGTGGGTCTTTGTTAAAAATGTGAATTTTTTTTTTTTTTTTTGTCATCAAAACTAGTAGCTTTTTTAAAACAAAAAACAAACTTAAATAGCTAAAAAGTAGCTTTTTTAATAGTGACCAAGCAGAGTTTGTAGAGTTTGTAAATTTTTGTGTGAATTCTATAACGCTTATCTTCTTGAAATTGTTAGGGGAATGCAGAGTCACAAGTGAAAATAGCTCATCGTCATATCACAGTATTGAAGAGAGAGTCCCAAAAATTCGGTGAAGAAATAGAAAGTACCCTCTTTTGTGATCCTGAGAGATAAGTGTACACTAGCTTCTGCAAGACGATTTTGAAGATTTTTCTTATTATAATTAATGATGCTTGAATATGGTCAGATCAACGAATCAGTGTAATAAAATCCCAACATCTGATTTTGTATGTAAATCGGTTTTAGGGCGACCTTTATCATGATAGATGTTTGTTTTTCATAACTTGTTGGTTGATGGTATCAAAGTTTGCCATTCTATACATTATTTGTTCCATGACATTGTATTCAATGTTTCGTAATTTACTTGTGCCTTTGTTTTGTTCTGAAATATACTCTTCTACTTCTTCCATGAAACTTTTCGTTTTTCTCCTTCATTTTGCTCTATATTTTCACATCATGCTTTTGAGCTTAACAGTTAGTTATTTGTCTTATTGGATTGTGGATCAAGTTTTTAATACATGGCCGCATTAGGGAATTAACTTCATGGGTTAATTCAGCCATCTTCTTTAACCCTTGTTGCTCGAAAACAATGTACAGAGCCAATTATTATATCAGTAAATACTGGAAAACACAACTATGTTTAGGTTGATCTGATTCACTAACAAGTCCAAAATTGGCTACCATTGATAATACACATTTATTCGCTCCTTAATCAGCTCGGAAGCTTCTTTGTTACACTGCTTTCAGTTTCTGTTTCATGACACTGTATCCACCGGGATTGTAGAGTCATATACGCGTTCCGTTGCCTTCTTTGCCTAAACAAGAAAGAACAAAGATTGCACACTTTAGATAAACTAACAGAGATGTTGAGAGAGAGAGAGAGAGAGAGAGAGAGAGAGAGAGAGAGAGAGAGAGTGTACTTGTTGCTCCCAATTAGTTCGTAGTGTAATGGTAGAAAGTGATAGAACTTGCGCAATGAGTCCACATATCATCCCAAACCAGAGGCCCTGCATGAAATCAACATGAGAAGGAAACACTTTCGCAGCTGAAAACACAGAGAGAGAGAGAGACACACACACCTTTCCGCCAATGTGTAGAACAAAAGCAAATACTATAGCAGAAGGAATGCCCACAATGTAATATGATCCCAAATTCACAAATGCACCAACCTTTTGCCTTCCACATCCTCTTACTGTGCCTAAATGTTAGCAAAAACAGAGCAAAAATAGCTTTGAAAACAAAATTATGTCTAAAGGTCCGTAAAGCATGCATTCCATATCACCCTAGTTGCGTATGTTTCAATTTCGTCAATTTTATTTCTGAAATTTTCAGTTTGAGTTGAATAAGTCCAATTTCAAATGGATCGCTTAAATTATTCCTGAAAGTACACGGCAACAGCTTAAGAAGAGATCGATAAAAATGCAGAGAAGAACCTGAAAGAACACCCTGAAGTGCATCCAAGAAATTGGAAGCTGCTAGGATTCTGACCACTTCTACTACATCGCTGTAAGCATAGCCCCAGATGTTTCGGATCGATATCATGACTGCTCCAACTATAACAGCCTCTGTAACTGCCATTACTAACACGACACACACTGCCAAACGAGCAGCGTATGGGCGCCCTGCCCCCAATTCATTTGAGACCCGCGTGCTGAATAGACATAGCACAACATATGTGAGATAAAATCAGGAAAATAGCGGGAATTACCAGTGAGCTTCTATTTGTACACTACCATTATTCTTAGTTCCTATCATTTTATTTTTTTATTTTTGAAATTATGATTGTATCCCTAGTAAATTACCATTGAGGACAAAAGTTGCACAACTTCCCTCCCAAACCCACCGCACTGCATGGCACCCTTACCACTGCCAAACCTTAGCAGTCACCACCAAATCACCGCAACCCGCCCTTCCCTCTCTCCCCATCCCAGCACCAAAGTGAAGGTGGTGATGGCTGATGAGTTTTGGGGTTAGGGCATGAATGTTGAAGATCTGGGTATTATGGAGACTAAGGGATGTGAATTGGAAAAAAAAAAATCGGTGATCATCCAAACTGTTGTAGTTGTATTAAGGCTGTATATACACAAATTTTGTTTTAGTAGTAGATGATAAAGTGGAAGTTAATTCAAGAAATCGACTATAAAGAAATTCCAAGAAGAAAATCTGCCTGTTTTACCAGATAGAAAGCACCGAGGTTTGTAGCTCAGGATCAGGAAGAAGACCAGATGCTAGAACAATCATTTCAAACGACCACATTTCCAAGCTTAAAGAAAACCATAACGCATAATGAATAATCACATTAAAAATCCGTACACATTGAAAAGTAAAGATCATAAACATTGAGAATATAGAAAGTTTAGTCAATCATAAACTTACCAAACCATGACAGCCGAAGGAATTGCAAGTCCGAGAAAATTGAGAATATCGTGCAAGGCCTCTTTTGACAAGCCAGTCCAAGTTTTTGCACAAGAAGAAGAGAACTTGACATAAAGAGCTAACAACACTACATTTGTCCAGTAAGAGATGGAATTGGCCAAGGCCGCTCCACGAAGACCTAGATCAGTCTTAAAAACCAATGCCCAACATACAAGTAGATGGATTAAAGTAGTAATCCCCGAGCTTATCATCATTGGGAAGACAATGTTTTGAGTTTGCAAAAACTTGACAAGACATTGAAGAAGCGCATACGCAAATATGCTTGGGATCATGAATCGTGCATAGATTTGAGCTTCTTCAGATATGTCATGATCTTGACCAAAGGCGACAAGAATGGCGCGTGTGTTTGCCCAAATGATTGCAAGAGGTATGCTTACTAGTGAAAGAATAAGCATAGCTCTTTGCATATGGATTCCAAGCATATGGTATTGCTCTGCTCCGTAGGATTGGCCACATAGTGTATCCAATGCACTTGCCATTCCTAGCTACTCAAGAACAAAATGGTGAGATAGAGTAAAATTTCATAGTATGTTTAATGAAGTAGCTTTGTTTGGCTAATGAAATTTTAGATTATAATTGAGAATTGTTTCCAAAAACACGAAGTATCAGATTGTGTTCGTTATATGCGTTCTGTTTGGTAGTTGAGAAGACACAATTTAAAAAATAATAATAATAATTGATATTGTAATTTGTAATTTGTAAATGTAAAACACAAAATTTCCTCTCTTTTCTCCATCATTTATTGTAATGTATAAAATATAATTATGGTTATTGAAATATGTGTTTTCTACCATTTTCTGCTTTCATATTTAATTTTATTTCGAAAGAACACTACTCTCCAAGTGAATGGAGATTAATTTATAGAATAAATCATTAAAGATTCATTTATGTTTATAGTTGTTTTTGTTTGTATATATAAAAATTTTAAAAATTTTAAAAATTATAAACAAAAACTCATTTAGTTTCTATTTTTGTTTCAAAAAATTATAAACAGTTTATAAAAAAATTATTAGATTCTAACAAAAAAAAAAAAAAGAAGTTAGTTTGGACTTGTTTGAAAAATAAATTTCATTCACTTCTCCCCTCTCCCATCCCTTCCTGCCACTAGCCACCCCTTTTAGCCACCATATTATTGACCTCCTCCGTCAACCATCTCCTATTGACTACTATCAACTCCGTTGATCAACAATCAACTCCTTCTCCACCTTTAACCACCACTTCCTGCCAGCAACTTCTTTCAACCACTCCCTCTCACTTATTTTTTAACCAAAATTTTAAAACATATGATGTGCCAAATATATGAACATTGCATTGCTATTAAAATGGTGGTGGAGATTTGCAGTGGATAAAGAGAGTCTGTGGAGAAATGTTATTTGTGATATTCATAAAATTGATGTGAGATGTTGGTTACCAGTCCAATCTCGCAACGCTTCCAGAGACTGGTTAGACATCTCATTGGTATGTGTTAGATGGCCTGAAGCTTTGCTTTTTTCTTGGATAATATCAAATTCAGCCTTGGCAGAGGAAATAGGTTGCAGTTTTGGAGTGATGAGTTGCAGCCTTTGTGGTCCCTGCGAGTGATAGATATGATTTGTGGAGTTTAGAAGGCCATTGATGGCTTGGGAGGAAGAACAGGTCGCTGCGCTAAACAACCTCTTAATGGGTGCAACGGGGATTAATAAGAGGGAGGATAATACAATTGGATGGATGTTGAAATTTATGTAATATTGATTGTTATTGATTGATATGTGTTTGATTACAAATTACAACTTCTATAAATAGAAAAGAAGGTGGTAGTAGGTGTAGTGTAGTGGAGGTGGTAGGTGAAGTGGGTGCTAGTGGAGATGGTAGGTGTGAAGAGGTGTAGTGTAGTGGATGGTAAATTCTAACAGCCCCCCGCAAACTCAAGGAGGATAGAAACTAACCAACTTGAGTTTGGAGAGAGGAACAAAACAAGAAAATACATAAAAATAAATAAAAAAATACAGAAAAATAAAAAAGATAGGAGACACTGTATGGTCGTGTCAGACCGTTGGTGAAGACTCTGAAAGGTGGTGCCATAACGTGGTAGAGGACACAGGATGGTGGTGTCATAACGTTGTAGAGGACACTGGATAGTGGTGTCATAACGGTGTAGAGGACACTGTATGGTGGTGTCATAACGGTGTAGAGGACACTATATGGTGGTGTCATAACGGTGTAGAGGACACTATATGGTGGTGTCATAACGGTGTAGAGGACACTATATGGTGGTGTCATAACGGTGTAGAGGACACTATATGGTGGTGTCATAACGGTGTAGAGGACACTATATGGTGGTGTCATAACGGTGTAGAGGACACTATATGGTGGTGTCATAACGGTGTAGAGGACACTATATGGTGGTGTCATAACGGTGTAGAGGACACTATATGGTGGTGTCATAACGGTGTAGAGGACACGGTATGCTAACCGGAATCAAATGTCGGGACAGTTTATGGGGTCATGTCGGACCGTTGTAGCAGACAATGGGGTCAATGTGATAATCACCATAGTGAAGAATAAATTTGGAAAATCTGGGAACAGAGTTTAATGTGTGATATATATAAATATGAGATATATATACAAATGTTCAATT